GTTGTGGTTCTTCCTTGGGGGGGCGCTGGTTTCTTGTGTTTTTTGGGTTTGTGTTTTTTATATGGGTGTGGGTTTTTGGTCCTTTTGGGGGGGTCGCCATTTAAAAAATTTTTTTTTTTTTTTTTTCTTCCCTTTTGACTAGTTCGACCCCCAGCTTTAATTAGTCTGACCTCATATGCATATTACTGTTGACATTTACGTAGCTATCAGCTTGCCTCTTTCTTTACTATGAACGTGACGTACCCTCTGCGAGGCTTTTCAATCCCTGTTGACAATATTTTCCCTCTTTATTGTGATGTACCTAGCAAGAATCCTCGCCCTGCGTTTTATTGCACTTACACGTGGTAACCAGGACCCTCACAGCTCTTTGTTTCCATGATGGATCTCACACATCACTTCATGGCTTAAAGTTGGTACATTAGACAAACCTACCCACTGTATTAGCTAATTGATAATTGAAATATCACTCGCCCGGCTGGCCGCGAATCACCGCTAAAGAGAATATATGCTGTCTTCGATTATTAACGCCATTCTTTTACAGCCTTCGTAACACCCTGAAAGGGGAGGAGTAATGCGACTTGCGAGGGGTAGCATCATTCTCTAAATTCCGGGCTTCTTCTCCTGATGAGATTTTCGCACACAGAACCTACGAGTTCCCAGCCACAGTCTGCACATGAACGGAACACAAACAAATATGGAGCTATGACGATTATATTTAAACAAATTCCTATTGCTCAAACAAAGGAAGTCAAGCAAAAATAAATGAAAGGAAAGGGTAATACTTCATGAAGGCAAAGGGATAACAAATAAAGTCACATCCTAAGCCGGGTGGTCGGGGGGGACCCCACAAAAGGAGTGCAACAACACCGGCAAACGGAAAAGATTCCCTCTTCATCATACACAAAAAATCCCTTGAAAAAACAAGGTCGGCGCCTACACACACAAAAGGGCCAGCCCGGAAATAATAGTGATAAAAACATAAAAACACAACAAATGCGAGGTAGGTATTATCGATGTCTAGGAGCAAAATCAGAGCCCTCTGAATAGACATACAGGCCCAAGCAAGTTAAGCGCGAATAATGCCCACAACGGCAAGACCCCAAAAAGCCCGCTGGAAAAACGTACAAGGGGAATGGGACCAAGTACAAGGGTAACGGCCCACGCAACAATAATTTAGGAGGGGAAAACATTATGTAATCAACAAACATGAGAAGCTCAGGTTATTTTTTTGCAAAATAAGAACAAGAAACCAATCAGCGTCATCTCCCTTCCTGGACGACTCGTCCTTTGGGTGCCCACTTCCGGATCAAAGGTAGACAGGGAACGGGCCGGCGGGCGGCGTGGTGTTGGCGGCAAAGCAAACAATCGGGGAAGCAACTAAATGCGTCACTTGGTGGAATTGGCGTACTTCATGTATCGTCTCGTCCGGAATGAGGTCTTAAACTTTGGCGCCTCGCTCGGTGCCGATGTTCTGGAAAAAAAAAACAGAAGATTAGCGATCTTGCACCCGTATGTACTAAACGCACAACGACAAAGCTCACCTCGTGGCGCCCTCCATCGAGCTCCTCGGCACCGTATCCCCGCCACTCAGCACGCCACTCAACCCCGTCGGCGTCACCGGCAACGGCGGCGGGCTCTTCAACCCCGCCGCCGCCAACTCCTCCCCGTCCCCGCCATCCTCCATCTCGAAAGCGTGCCCCTCATCCTCCTCCCTCCTACCCACACTCCTCCCGCGCTCCTCCCCGCCTCCGCCCCCGAACCCGCCATTGTTGCTCGAGAGGACGTACGCCCTCCCCGGGCTGGGACTCGACACGCGACGGAACGCCGACATGGACGAGGACGCCGGGCTCGAGGGCCCGAACTGGGTCGGGGAGCCGACCTGCATCCACTCGTTGCCCGGCGGGTGATGATGCGGGTGCTGCGCGTGCGGGTGCTGCTGGTGGC